GACAAGTCTTGAACCATCAACCTCTAGCATGAAAGCCTGTCCCTTACAGAGGACGGCACTCATGTAGATGATCTGAACTTGGAGAAAATACTTCTCAACACTGACGTGTTAACACTGGCTTTGTCTGGTGGTCTGCTCAGATTTTGATCATTACATTGTTTATTCTAACCAAATTAGCTTTAAGCAACTAGATTGGTTGGAAAAACAACCAATTTATTCTTAGAATCTATCCAAACTTTATCCAGCTGACAGCAACTCTCCTCCAATCTCCCACATCTTCACTGAACACTGAGGCTGTTTAGATGCCCGTCAAAATTCTTGCGCTTCCCGAACCACTTACCGAACCGGTCACGTGGTATCACGGTAGCGAGGCCTCGGACGTCATCAATTTTGGCCCCTCCTCTAAATGAATCACGCCTCGACTTGTGCTTCTGGGAAACGCCCCCTCCATTACTCGACACACGCCTCGAAGCCTCGGCTCATCTCATAACATCACTATCAGTAACCCAATCCGTTACTGATACCTGGGCTGATCGTATCGGCTGAAAACGTATTTGAATCAACCGTTAAAAGAATGCACCATATATCTCGCCATGTGATTGAAGGCTTTATCCTTGACAAAAACATTGTTTAAAAAAAAAAAGTAAAAATTAAGACAGATATAAAACTTAATATAATTTATTAACAAATAAGAGAAATAATAGTTCCATGTAAAGTGAACTGGATTGGCTCTCCGATATCCGATCACCAATATCTGATCCAGCTAATTAGTCAAAATTGGATCCAATATCCTTCCTGGTATCAGATTGGTGCAACATACAGTCGGTACATCTCTACTGTCCCTTCGTTTTTTAGTCTGGGTTTTCCCTCCTAAAAGCGTTACATGTGGGACCCAGCCTTGGATAAGTAGAAAACCACAGTTAAGGAGCAACTCATCAGAACCTACAACCAGTTGTCAGCTCCTGGTCTCTCTAACCCCTGACCTACAGTTTACAGCTCTAGCTGCTGCAACCCAGACTCTGCTGCAGTAGGAGATGATGCATCTTTGTCACGAGCATGATGTGCTACAGAAACCTGAGAGAAGAAGATGAAACATCAGCATGTTCTCAGTAGTTCTATCACCCCAAACTTCACTTCAATGTGAGGCAGAAATCCCTGCATCCTCCCGCTAACAGGCAGTCTATGTCCCGCCCACGCAGAGCGCAGCATTCTGTAACAGCAACCACTCGGCGTGTGGGGTGTAGGTGCGATCCACAGCTAGGACAAAAACACGTTCCCACAGTCTGATCTGGGCTGTTAACATGTCATTCAGGAGGCCGGGATCCCACTGGGAATCAGAACTTGAGCTGAACTGTGAGCTCTTCATCAGGATCCTTGGCAGTTTCTGCAAAGATGCAGCAGGTTGATCTTCATGATGGAAAC